CAGCTCTAAAGCTTTTAGACTATAGCATCATGATGGACTAAAGAAACATGAATTAATAAACTCTTTTTTTTTTTTTAATTCCCACAGAACCTTTTCAGAAGTCCAGGAGCAATCAGGAGTGATAGCAGTCCAGTTACTGGTTATCAGCAACCAAGACATTGCCGAAAAGCACTTTAAGAACACACAAAACCAGCTGCACGGAGGTGAAAGGCTGAAGGTTTCTGTGTCTGTGTGAGGAGCTCTGATTGTCTGTTGCTTTCCCTGAGCACAATAATCAGAGTTTAGCTTACAGTGTTATCAAGCTGGCTCTTCGTGTTACATTCAATACAACGAAAAAATAAAAAGGCAGTGAATTTTTTTCCCCAATTATTTTCAGTGGAAGAATAGAACACTGTGCACCTTCAGCTGCAGGAATTAAGCTGTGAACCACAGCAGATTATAATTGATTTGCTAAAGGAGCAAATAGAAACCCTTGAGTTACACAGCATTTTCAGCAAGAGAATGACAGACTGAAACAGGTTTAACACTGATGCTAGGTTAAATCTTAAATTAGGCATGTGCAAAGCCTTTCGGTTTTTCAGGGTGTGGCTCACAAACTGAATGAACAAACCAGTTTTTAAAGAGGTGACACCTCCACAGTTAGAATGATTATTTTAAAGAATTATAGAATAACTCAGATATGGAATTGTAGATGCTATAAAAAAATCATCCTATTATTGTTAGTTCCGAAGGAGCAGTAGCTGCTGACACTGCTGAACTTTGTGATCATTCTTCTAGATTAAACTACTAGTAATTTTCTAAAAAATGAGTTTCTTTTCTATACTTTATGTAATTTAAAACCTTATCTTTGGTTTCTTTTTTGAAGATGTATCAAATAAATGGTTTAAATAAGACAGAAGCAGCTGTATGAAACTACTCTTGCTGAAATGAAAAAGTTGCTTTCTTTGTTAAAAAAAGATAATTTAGGGGCCCATGGATTAGATGACCTCCAGAGGTCCCTTCCAACATAAAAATTCTGGGATTCTGATCGATATTTTTATATATTATATGTTCTATACCTCATAAATGGAATAAACGTTATATTTTTTTTACTTATAAATATTAGTTAATATTAAATCTATTTTCATTACACATTATGCAATTTTATACATTGTATTTTACATATTCTATCATGGAAATAAAACAAAATAAAATCAAACAAGAGATAATGTGGCCATTTTTCTTTAAATAAAGTTAGAAGTATTGGCAAAAAAAAAAATAGTAAGAGAGAAAAACAGATGTTCCTGTGTTCTTGATGGAGTATTTTAACAGCAGTCTCCAGTTCAACGTGTATAGTGACAACAAAGGAGCAGCCACTATGACTATTAGCACTGCAGTTCCTTATCCAAATTATCACTCTATGTGTCTACACATACACACACACACATACACACATACACACACACGACAAACCAGTCCCAACAGAACACTTTCTTTTCCATTTATAATTCTGCATGCAGTCACACCTTTCCACCTATCCCGAACGTCATGAATTTGCACTTGGTGGGGGGAGGGATGTGTACGTCCAGCATCCAAAATTTTTGAAAAAGGCAGGCTGCAACTGCTTTCCAGCCAAGTATTAAGGCCAGGCTGCGTCCACGGCTGCTGGATAGAAACTGAGTAGTCACGGCGTTCACAGGTGGAGCGTGGGAGGTGAAATCCACTGTCAGTGAATGAGGTTGCCGGGCAAGACACACACACACACTCCCACACAGCAGCTGCTACTGCTGTTCCTGTCAATAGCCCCACCATCTGAAGGAGAGAGACATTTTCAAAGGTGAGCTGATTCAACTGCACAACGGTTTAAGGACATTTTTACTAATTACTTCCTGAATTACAGCATCTTCTATTAAATAATGGTAACTATTTAAGCGACTTCGACTGGAACATGAGTGGACACCTAAGAACTGCCACCCACCCTCTCAAATCACTGACTAAACTTGTGCTGACTTCAATCACCCTGGAACAAACAGACCTTTAAACCTGAGGCTCTCCCTCAAACAAAAATGGACTAAAGTCAGCAGGTGTTTTGCTCAGAAAGGCTCCAGTATGAACTTCCAACTACTAAAAACAGCTCCTGGACACACACAGACGCACTGCCCACCATCCATCAAGTCTCTCTACTGAAATGTATTTTTGTAGAAAACCTAAACACCTCTGAGGAGCTGAGCTTTTGCTCATCATTCTCCTCCTGGAGAGTATCAGGAAACATGAATTAATAAGTATATTTCCACCTATACTAAGGGGGTCTAATGCTTGTTATTTGTTATCACTCAGCCAACAGTCAGAAATGTGACACTAAATTTTGAGTTTTGGTTGTACTCTTGAAAATTAGTATTTCCATTTCAGAAAACGAAAACATTAAAAAGGTTGAGATTGATGTTATAGAACTGACATCCAAAATGAAAACAGGAAAGTGGAAATGTAATAACAAATATCAAAATAACTAGTAATACCAAAACAGCAATTGTCCCTTCTACTCTACTTTTATTCATTGAATTCTAACTTACCACAGAAGATATACATATAACCTTTAGGCTGGAGTTCTGTATCACACAATAATCAGTATAATCAATCTCCAGCAACTCCCATATGTGCAGCATATCAGGTTCTCTACCGAATTTGTTCAATAAAACTAAAATTAACATTCTAAGGAAGATATGTTATGAATACCACAGGGATTCCTGGAAAAGCTGCACTTCAGGAAATATTTAAGCTTCTTAAATTTTATAACATCAATACTGATGAACCATTATAAATACTGATGAACCATTATAAATACTGATGAATGACTCTGGAAAGGAATTATATGTGCTGTTCAGCACAGTTGATGATGTAGATGAGCCCGTGGTTCCAAGAATGTTAAGGGGGCCATCATTTGTTTCCCCAGAAGATTTCATTCCAGTGTTCCTATGACACATTTATTTTCTGTTTATTAAGTGCTTTGCAGAAGAACTCTCTGCAATTCACTCCCTGCTGCTGCTGACCCCGAGGCCCCCAGCGTAGCCCCTAACTTTGCTGATCTCAAAGGTACATTATTATTGCACACAAGAGGTGTGTACAATATTGTACACAAGAGGTGACAGTAGCCACAGACAAACCACTGAACCATGCTGAGGCAGCCAAGCACAGGTAAGCAGAACAGGTTTAGCTGATTATTACAGGCTGAATGAAGCTGGTGGCTGGAAGAAGCTGACTTTTCAGGACTGGTCTGCTCAGATACATGAACAACCTTTTGTAAGCCATGGCACAGATGAGTGCCTACTGGTTTGACTTTGTAAATACATTCCTCATGGCAATACCCAACTATGTGCATTAAAACCACTTAACCTTTTATGAATACCACAACATACAGTTTTATGATGCTTTAAACACACTTTATCCAATCTGCAGTGCCTAAGTCTTTCTTATAGTGGGGAAATGAGTTGGAGATGTCCCAGCTCAGCAGCTGGGCAGTAGAGGTAGATGACCTCCTACAGATCAGAGGGACAAGACAGACCTGAACTTCACTGGGATGTGGAAAGGTCTCTTGCTAATCTGATGTGCACATCAAATGAACAACAGTAATCTAATAACAAGCATCTGTAGGCCACAGATTGTCTATGAAGGTGCTTCTAAGTTTTTTCCTTTGTATCTAAACTATTTATATTTCAACCTAATGGGATATATAGGAACTTGGATTAACAAGTCCTTTTATCAACTATTTGTTTCACAAATATTATAAATTACATACTATTCACAGTTTCATTTATATTGTACTCCAAGTATTTCTTTTATCCCTTCAAAACCTACATATATGGTTAGCCTTATTAGCTCAAGGTTAAATATCAAATCTTCATCATATTTATTGTTCATGCTTTTTTCATACTCTGTGATAAATCTGTATATAATCAATAGTACTGTTCCAGAAGTACTGAAACAAACAACTGACTTAAAATCAAAACTGAATTCCTTATTTATACCAAGGTTTTATATATTTTTACTGTTCATGGTCTACTTCATAAATCAGCCTTAGAGTGTTGTTTTCCTTTCTTTTCCTTTATGAAGATATAAGAATGGCACATCTGATGGATTAAAAGAGAACTCCAAGATAAATTATTCATGAGAGCAAACAATATTCTTTTCTAAAGAAAATGATAGCTTTTAGAAACACAGTGCAATATATGCAGATCCTTTGTAAATATAGGGAAGCAAGAAAATAAGAATGAAATAAATGACTGGTTTTGAATAAAAAATATTATTTCTGATACCTACACAATTGGCCTGCATTTATTCAAGGAAAACATTCATTCAGACATGTAGGGTGAAATGCTGACCGTGTCAGTCAGCAACAAAGCACTTACTAACTTGAGGAGAAACAGGACTTCAGCCTATCAGTGTGAAATATTTTTAGTTCCTCCAATCCATTTTAGATATTAAAATTAAGTCTATTTTGTTACTTTTCTTTCTGTTTTGTTACTTCACTTTGCTCCTCCTCCCTTTTTGAGAAAAAAAAAAAGGTAACATGAACTAGATGATCATTTGTAGGTCCTTTCCAACTGAAATATTCTATTCTATTCTATTCTATTCTATTCTATTCTATTCTATTCCTTGGCTTGATTAATCCTAAAACCTTTTTTTGCTTTATATTTCCAAAGTAACACCTTCTTTATTTGACAGAGGAAATCCTTCTGCCACAGATGCATGGGAAAATCATATATTGAGAAAGATTTCAGAAAAGGGACCTAGTCTTAAAAAGTTCACAAAATATTGTAAAATAAAAAGATGCCACTCCACTTGCTATGAAGAATATAAAAGCTGGAGTAAATGACTGTGCTAGGCTCTGTGCTGCTGTGCCTGATCAGCTCTGCATCCCTAATCTGGGTAGTCATAAATTGCAAAATAAAAATTTAGGCTGACAAAACTCAATAATAATAATAATAATAATAATAATAATAATACATAATAATAATGTACTGTACCTAGGGATCCTTGCCAGCAGCATCATTTTGCAGGAGGATATAACACTGAGATATCCTGACTCTTCAAGTTCTTGGTTGAGGGAGAGGTTGAAAGAGCAGAAGAAAACTCGCTCCTGGCATTCTGCATAGGGAAAAGCATAAATCACCTCAGATTCTTTCAAGAACTACGTAAAATATTTCAAAGACTCACAATCAAAACTCATGGGTTTGCCCCCTCTATATTAGGGTAGTAAGTGTATTTACAGAAGATACCTGTCAATAGCTAAATGGGTTCTTACAGGAGAAGACCAAGCACGGTGACTACGTCAAGGTAAAGGTCTTTATTTACCGCCTGAGTGAAATGATCTAACAGGGACTAAGTGCTTTTCTTGCTTTCCCCTCACCCATAGTGCAAAGGGGATTGGAGATGGACAAAACCAACTAGGTACAGCCTTGGGAGAAGGAGGTAGCAAATGTCACCTGGCAGCTTATTAACGTTTAGAGGAATTCTGTCTCTAAGGGGCTTTTTCTTTGATTTACTTAGCCTTGATTGACCACAACTGAGGTTACACTACTTAGGAACCACCGTTTAACTAAGGGCACAGTCTATTTAAATGCTTGGAACAACACTCAATTTATATCCTTCAGAATACACATTAGTTATCTGCCCACATTGCTATTTGGTTATATCCTACAAAATGTTCTCACTGTAAAAAAATCTTATTAAGCTATCAATTCATGTGATTTTACCACAAATATTGTTCAATTAGGTGTTTCCTTTAAAGTACCATTCCCTAGAATCAGGCAATTCTGTATTTTAAACAAACAAAAAAGAGTTTCAAGCCCAGTGGTTTGCACAGTAAATCTTGAATTCATTAACAAAAAGAATCTCAAATATCCCCAGCTTTTCAGGGAAGAAAGTCTTATTTTCTGTGCATCTAGATTTTTCAGTACCTCTGCTGCACCAGCTGTCAGGGCTTTCCAAAGCAACAAGAATATTGACCTCTGGTAAACATTTTTAAGTCTTCCCAGGAAAAAGTTTAGAGCTGACTCCATGCTTTCTACCTCTAGCAGATGGAAAAATAAAACAAACTACAACCAGGATTTACTGGAGAAAAAAAAAAAGGAAGTCACCTCCTCTGCAATAAGCAAAAATGACTTTGATCACTAAATGAGGGATTTTAACTGCCCGTAGTACATGAAGAAGACTGATGCATTCTATGATGATGTAGACACAGCAAGTCTTGACAAGCTCTGATGATGACAGTGATGCCATCACACACATGGTGATGAAAGAAACACAGCAGCAGACACAAGGAAAAACATGTCACCTACTAAGAAAAAAATGCAGCCACAAGAATACACAGATTAAAACACCAGACTTCCATGCCTGACCCATCTGCACATTCTGAAAGTGACTGGAGCTTCAGGGATGGTGGGACACAAGTCAAAGAAGCTGTGGCATGAAGATGACCATGAAACATTTTATTTAACTTCCAGCAGTGTTCAGGTACACTTGCATTTTCCTCTGTTGCAGATGGATTACAAAGCACTGGCAAAGACTAGGCTGAGTGCATGGACATTTAACTAGCTGCAATTATCCTAATAAGATGGTTCACAGCTCATATCTGGGTGTGGAACAGCGAGCCAGCATCATGGTAAAGTTGTCCTGAAACCCTACCAGAGCAGAACTATGCATTCAGCTACTCAGCTGGAAGCAGTAGCTTGCTTTGTTTAGTTGCACTGGGGCCTCACTAGAGAATACTGCCAGTCTCTCTTAAAGATTTGAATCTTCTTCATCCCAGATTGAAAGGAAGGTGAAAACAGAACCAGGAAGCTTAAACAGAAATGCTAAGATTCTAAAATAGGAAAACTAACACTGAACAATGAGTAAGACTTTGTTAATTCCTTTTGACTACTGCTTCCATAGGTTTGATCCACAGCAAGAAAGTTCAAAGTGGCACAATAACACAAGACTCACATACTTGGAAGATTTGCTCAGTGAAATCATCCTCACTAGAAGTTCCTTACAATTTTCTGCCTGTAATTACATGAAAATCAAAAAACTTCACCTGAAATCCATACCAAAATGCAGTAGTGTATAAAACAGGTTGTTTAGCAAAAACACAACACGAGCCTGTACACCATGATCATCAATAGACAGGGCAATGTAAATACTTAGCAGAGCTGAGGCGCAAGCCTACCATATCCACGGAGGAGCTTTGCCAAAACCCCTACAGAACTGAATTAAACCACACAACTACCGTTAGTAAAAGTAGTCTCACAGACTAGTATTTGTGAGATCAGAATAGTTTCCCCTTGGAATCAGCAAAGCCCTTAAACTGAGTTATACTGAATTATACTGAATTACAAAGAAGTGAGTAATTCCATCCCTATGTGACAAGCTGCTTAAATACAACGGGAATGCTTAAGTGCTCTGCTACACGGGGCTGCCATTGCTCTCACACTTAATGATAAGCGTGTGCTCATTACTTAACTTTTTCTGTTGCGATGTCTAAAAAGAAGCATGCGACTAATTAATGTACAATTATGAGAGCCCACACCCCCAGAGCTTACTGCAAAAAAGAATACAAAGAGATAAAAAAGCAGTAGAGTGACAGCTCTGAAATGAAATGTAATTTGAATCTGCTTTCATATTTTACAGGTGAACAGTTTGAATGATGACAGATTTCACCCCAGTTTGAAAGAGGAAAGGCCGTCCACTTCTTTGGCAGAATCTTCCCTTTATTTCTTCCTGCGTGTTTTGACACTTGATCTGTACAAGATAACCACAAAGGGCCCTTCAGGGATCCATTTTGTTAATTAGATATATGTTGTTTTTCAAATTCTGTAGACTAAACAGCAGATTTGGTAAGCAAAAGCAATCTTGACATGTCCTGAATGCACTCCAATATTATTTAAGCACATCTAGCAAATCGCACTACCAAGATTTTCACATGATATTCCAATTTCTTTTCACATCAGTAAGTGCTTCTGCAATTTTAATCCATATATTCTGCATTGCCCCAGCAAAGACAGACTGCAGGAAATTAAGGCAATGAGCAACAATATTTGTGGTTTTCTCCAGACTCGTCTATGAATCACTTAGGTGCAACTTTCATCAACAGAGAAATTTTACAATCATAGACACTGAAAGTCGATTTTCAACACAGACTAGGAAAGTAACAATTAACATTTTTAAGTCTTCTTCTGTGGAAAAAAAATGTATGCAAATAAAAGATGCACCAGAGTATTTTCTTCTAAGTAGGTTACAATGCTGTCATTCTACAGAGATTTTGATAGCCTGTATCTACGGTTACTGAAGTGTACTTTGGGATCCCTGCACAACTTTAGAAATACACTCTTCTATAAAAGGGAATAAAACATGTCAGCCTTGGCACAGATTGTCTGCAGCAGCAAAGTTAGTAAGTAAAATGAAAAAAGAATCACAAAGTTATATTACATCTAATCTACTACACTCCAAGAGCTGCTACATTTTAACTGGGTAACCTCCTGCAAGAGGGCTATTACTGCACCTCTTGCTTAAGAAGAGCTCCTCAAAATTTCAAGAGGACTACGGTTCAAGTTAGAATTTTAAGGCTTCTTTGGAATGTTTTGATCTGGAAGTTGGTGGGCCTGTCTTCACTAAAAAAGTACATAAATAAAAATCTTTAACTGCTAATGTTTCAATTATAGGCATCAATGTATTTTCTATATATCTGAATGTATTGTTAGATTGAGGGCAAAGTGGCCAGCCCCAAGGCCTGATGTTCCAGTCATTCCTTGCTCAGTCTTTCACTTGATGCCAATTCCAATATTACTTTCAAAACTTATTCTTTACTGCTGTCCAAGCCCTCTTCCTGATGGAAGAGAACAAAGGCATGTTATCTAGTCAATTTTCTTGCACATGCAATATTTTGCAAAGTCTAAAATTTGCACATTTCTCATTTTCTTCTCTTTAGGGGGATGTTGCTCAGCCTGAATTGAAAATTCTGAAGTTCTCCAGTAGAACTGCCCTTTCAGATAACCTTTATTTATTACAGAAAGCGCAAGGCTTTCGTCTCTAGCATTTTCAGGCACTACATCTTATATCTTTGCTTGCCATTGGGTTTCCTGCTTTTTATGAGGTCACTTTACAGTTACTGAATCTCTTTTTTTTCTCTTCTTACTAAATTTATTACTTCTTGTTGTTCCTTTTACCTTAGACTAAGCCTTTTATGTTTGCCAAAATTCTCCTTGGGATAAGAAGAAATAAGTTGACTGTTTTCTGAAGAAAGCACTGGAAGACAGGAGCAAAGATGGATTACAGACATGTTTTAGACATGCAGGGGATATGGTCGTTTGGTAGCCTCATAAAACTTTCCATAGAAAAAAAATGCCTCATAGTTTATCCTTCTTTTCTGTATGCCCATTATGTAAAAGGATGATGTGAAGTGCTCAACTGGACTCTTACAATAAGAGCTTATAAAACTTTTCATCACTTAACTACAATACATTTTCTCAAATTAAATTGACATTCTACAGAAACTCCATTGCATTCATCATCCTAAAGCTTCAACTTGTCATGCTGACATTACAGAAGTCTTGAGATTTTTTTTTTCCTCTGAGTTGTAAGAAATATAGACCTGGAGCTTTACTCTAAGTGTAGTAGTTTCACTGTTTCTTAATCTTTTTGGGTCTTCCTTCCAGAAGGAGATCTTCTGGCTTGTTTCAAATTTCTCTTGAGTAGTTTCTGTGTTCTGTGCATTTTTTCAATCAGGTTTTCAATTCCATACTACCTTTACCCTTTTCGAAGGTTTGGCAAGACGCTCTGGTTAAAACATGTGCGTTCTGTTGATTTCATCTGGCTGCTTGTACATGCCAAGGAGAACTAGTTCATTTCACTTCATATGGGCAAACTGTGCCAGTGATTTTTTTTTGCAATTTCCAATGCCAATTACATTGTCTGCATTACTGAGTTTGGATCCCAGACAGATCCTTGCAGTCTGCTTGCTTTTGCTGAACAGCGACTTCAGCCAGTGAGGTGTGTGAGCTGCTATTAACCACGGCATTCTTGTTAAGATATGACTTTCCTCAGCCCACATTTAACTGCTGCACAATTAAAACAAATCCTTATGTTCTATGTTTTATAGTGGTGTTGTCAGACCATTAGAGATGAAACATAAATTCTTCTAAAATAAGCTCTATACGATAAAAAATGTGCTACTGTTTTTCGCATGGCTACATGGTTGACTTGAAAAATATATTGACTTGAAAAATATATGTGGTCTGTTTTATTATCACCATCCAATGATTTTTTTTTTTTTCCCATTCAAGAGCAGACTGTTTCTCTAGAAGCTGTGAATTCATGGTCTTCTCCCAAGACTTCCATGCAGAAAGCCAATTCATTTGCTACGAGCACATGAAGCAGATTTCAGGTGAATGTCCCTTGGGACCACATGGTGACAAGCACCGCACAGTTGCAGACACTCACGCTTCCATTTGGCACTGGCACGGACTGGTGCAAAGCCCGGCGAGCCTGACTGAGGCCTAAGCACGAGGGTTTGCCCACTGGAAGTCCTGATTTCATGGCCACACTGGATGAAGGCAGCAGCCCCACTGTGGGCCCAGCTACAGCTGTGGTCAGGCTGGCACAGTTTAGTCCAGACCAGAGCAGGCAATGAAGTATCCAGGCGTACATGAGGATGCCCTCAACCTTCCTTGCCACGTGAGGTGAGGGGTCTGATGGTCTCTATACGGGCCTCACTCTTCCTTCCCGCTGTGGACCCGACCATGGCTTGTGGGGCGCTCACTTCCAACCCTCTCAAGCCGTGCCCGACCGGCAAAGCAGGGCCACAATACCAGCGGCCATGGGTGCCCTCCACCCTAGGCTGCCTGCAGTCTCCCCTGCTCCTCCGTGATGCTCCACCACTGCCATTTCCCCGCAGATTCCCAGCCGCCGCCGTGAGACACCTCTCCCTCTCCCTCTCTCTCCATTTTCACACTCCACCCACTTTTTGCTTTCTTTCTCCATCTCTGCCACCGTCTCTCTCCCTTTCTGGACTTGTCTTTATTTGGCACTCCCGGAAGCTGCTGGGCATTGCTCTCCCTGCCTGCCCGGGCAGCTGATGTGACTGACTGACACCGGCTCCCGCTGAGGAGGAGGAGGAGAAGGAGGAGGAAGAGGAGGAGGAGGAAGGAGAGCAACGGCGAGGCGAGGGAGGGGGGGAGCGAGTGACCGGCCGCGGATTTTCATTGCAGAGAGGAGGGGGGAAAAAAAAGGCTACGCGGGTCATCAGAACAGGTAACTCAAGAGCAGGCGGCGGCGGGAGGGGCGGGATGCCGGGGGCGGCCCGACGCCCCTGGCCCCGGGCAGGCGCGGCCGGGGCCGCGGGTGCCCTCCCGCCGGTGGCGGCGGCAGAAGCAGCCGCAGCGGACATCTTGGGGATGGGGGAGAGTGATGAGGGGACGACTCCGGGCTCGGCCGGGGGCGGCAGGGCGGCAGAGTTATTCCTTGGGCAGGCAGTGCGCTGGAGGTATCTGGGTCAGGGACCCGCGCTGCCCCTCGACTTCCCTCCTGTCACCTGCGCCGGGCTGCGCACGGAAAACCTCTCCCTCCCTTCCCCCGGGTGCTAAGTGGGAAGGAAGTAATCTGGGCTGGGAGAGGGGAGACCCGAGCGAAATACCACGGCACGCGAGAGATCCTCTGTGGGGCCGAAGCCCGATCTCCTCCTCCGAGCCCCTCGTCAGCGCCGGGAGCGACTCCCCGGGGTGCTTTCGGCTGTGCCCCAGCCCCCGCCCGGGTCCCGGCAGCCGACGGGTTATTAAAAATGCCCTCGGCTTGTTTGTGCAGACCTGGCTGTCAAGCGGTGCCGGTCTTGAACTCTCTTAATCAGCGTAAGATGATCTAATTCTGAGGCAGGCGGCTGTAGTGCCGGTGGGTGTTGGGGCGTCGAGACCTTGGATCCCCCCGCTCATGGGAGCCGGAGGTGTGCGTGTGGTGGAGGTGGCAGGAGAGCCTACAGGTTTAGCCCAGAAGAAAGGGTTAAATAGCATCTTACGGTGAGCGTCCTAAAGGCGTAATATATACCTTTACATAAAAATATATAAAGGATACTTCACATACAAGGTGGCTTTCAGAGGGGGCAAGAGGAAGGCAAAAATGAAGACCCGTGAAGCCGAGGTCCTGCGTTTTGCAGTAACTTGACATCAGGAGCACTCCCCCAGAGACGCAGCCAGCGCAAAGCCGAGAAGAACTTGTTGTGACCTCACCTAAAAATGTGTAATCTGTCCTTTGCTTTGGGGATTGCTGTAGATTTGTATCTTGGCATTACAGCATCAATAGTGAGGATTTTTATCAAGTAGAATTGCGATTTTGTAATGGGTAGGGGCAGTCTTAAAAAACAAAGACCATCTGGGGAAGAAAGCTTTTTTTATATACCTTACCTAAATGTGTTTGTTTCTGAGTGATGGAAAATGTCAGAAAAAAGCCCTTCACAGAGGCCAGTCCATTAGGAAATAGTTGGAAGGGATCTGTTTAGCAGAGGGTCTGAGTGGGATAAACCTGCAGATTTTATAAATTTGTTTCTAATCCAGGCAAAAGTGGCAGTTTATGGACTAGCATGTTTCATTGTTTTGTGAAATTGTAATCGGAAAACTCATCCTACTCCAGAAATGTAACTTGAAAAATTACTGAGAATAGTAAAGTGGTTGATGGAATGAGCTGGAACTCAATACAGTACTCTCAAATCTGGCCTTTTAAGACATTACTGTGAGTCAGATACCCTAATTTTTATGCAAATTTTATCCTAGCATTTCCTTTTAATTACTTATTATGCAAATGATAGTGAACTTTTTTCTGGTTTTATGCATTTTATGCAGTACCAGGATTTCATAACACTGGCTCTATTTTAAGCAAGTTTGCACAAGAACAAAGGCAGTCTACCTTCTGTAACAAAGCCAGGCACATACAACAATATGGCCTTTTTGGTTTTGGGCTTAACAAAAATGCAAGTCTTCTGAATACTGCTATGATTCCTTTGTGTCTTTCCCCCAGAATGCTGCTCAGATGTGGAAGGTGGACAGGCACAACTCCAAACTTAATGAATAAAATATGTTTTCTCAGTTAAATAAAAATGAAGAGGATGTGCATTATTTACTATTATGGTATAACCAACCTCTGGCATGTTTTCATTATTCTTTGTCAGCTGTGGCTCTCACTTCAGTGGAGAAAAGTGCTTCTTAGTATATACCATAAGGAACAAGGGTACTAAGATTACATGTATTAAATTCCCTCCCATCATTAGATATTTTATTAACCATGCAAAATACATTGGGCACCCTAAGTTAAAAAAAAAAAAAGTCATTAAAATTCATCCAGGTCAATTCATGGTAATCTGAATTAGCAGGTACTGGAAAAATAGAGTGAATAAGGAGGGCTGGAAACCAGGCAACTTGTATTCAGCTCTCAGCCTTGAGTTTGACTTGCAACATCACCTGAACAAAGTCAGATGATCTGTGCTTTAATCTGTGGCCTGTCAGTGGCAATAAAGCTGCAGTTGGTTTGAACTCTAGGGAGAGAAATGATGAACTGCCAAATATGTTAAAGAATATTCTTAGTGGTTCTGCACGGGTTCTAACATCACGTGCAACAGCAGCAAACTCAATAGCTGCAGTTGCTGCCTACTGGAACATCTGACTACATGCAAGAGAACATTCTGTGCTTATTGGGGCAAAACCAAAGAAACACCTATGATAGATAAGGCATACATTTTTGCAGTTATTCTTCTGCTTTATTATGAACTGGTTAAAGGATTTTGCTTGATAAAGTACCCCTGATATATATACAAATAATTTTCAAACTTCAGGTGCATCTTTTGCAGTAGAGGGGACAAATGGGAACTTGTCATTTTCATGTGATACAGAGTCCACTCCAGTTGCTTACATAATACTGCAAACTCTAAAGATTTGTCTCATCTTCAGAATGTCACTGCTAACAACTATACCAGAATAGCAACACCTTTACTAAGCATTGCATGCTGAAGTGACAAAAGCATGCATGAGCACAGCAATGATTTTGCTGGTTCAGATGCTTCATCAAGAGTAGGGAGTTTGGGGCTTCTTAAATCTCTGTGACCTCTGTCACCATTTAGCAAGACTTTATGGCATAGGCACCACTACAGTCTGTGCACATACTGCCTGCTGCTGTCTTAATTTCACCTGTGTACTTAAGGTATTCTGACTGTCAATTTCAGGGACTTTTTGTTATTTATGTTGAGGCTACTTTCCTGAGTATATGCTAATGGGAATTGCTTTGTCTGACCCACAGTTTTTCAGGGAACAGCAAGTCAAAGAGGTTGCTTGTAGAATTCCAAATACCAGTAGTAGTATGCTGGGAATTAAAGCCTTAATGCTTTAATGGGCTATATATAAAAAAAAAAAAAAAAAAAAAAAAACAGGGAAATGCTCAAATTACATAATTAAATAGTGGCACATTTTTCCAAGAAGATCTGCTCAGATCCTAAGCTCTAGGCTATGTTTTGTATTAGTTAAAATATTTAATTAATTGCTCTTTGGAAGGAATGTAAAGAATCATTTACATTTCTGTGTGTAATCTGTCATTGTCTAGAAAGAGCAGACTAATTCACCTAGCAGCTCTGGGTCCTCTAAAGCAGCAACCATCCTCAAAAAGGCTGACTTTTACAAGCCTCTAGGGTAGGTCCAGTTTGATTTCTGTGTGTTTTGCAAGACCTCACACTGAAATAGAGGGATAAGTAGTTAAATGTCTGAGATCTTGTACGTGAGCATGGATTATCATTAAAGCTTAGGACCTCTTAAGTAGTAACCAGGTTATATGAGGAAATAGAAAAGTCTGTTTTAGTAGCCGCTGGCCCATTTCATCCTGAATCAGAAGCAAAGGCACAAATTGCAATGCCAGCACTATTGCAAAATCAGTGGGACAAGTTTTAGAATGCGAGGTGCAAGAAGACCTTAAGTTTTTGTGACCAATAAAGATCCCAGTTGAGCTGCAGAGCAGAGAGAGGACTCATGTGGCAAAAAGTTTGTTTAAGCCTTGCTGGCTGCTGCTATGCTGGAGGGAGAGCCACTGGCTACAGGCTGAGTGGAGCAGCCATGATAAGCCTGAGACCATCAGACACAGATTGCAGCAGGATGTTCTGGTAAAAACAGGGACACTTGCAAACATGGCTGAAATCAAGCCCAGCTATTCAGGCTTCAACATAATATGGATATGCATGAGAAGTAGGGTGTGGAAGCTTTGTAAAAGGCCACCAGCACAGCAAATAAAACTGTTCCAAACTTTGGTACTGAGTAACTCTAGTCTTGTCTTTTCTTCAGAAGTAATTTCACAGTTTCTGTTTTTAGAGCTTGCAATATCTTTCACTTAGTTTTAACTTCCTCCTTTGTTTTTTTCCTTTCACATCCTGGAAGTACTGAAACATTTCTACTTTGTGGAATTTACCCTTTTAGAGAGTTCAAATTCAATTTATTTGGAACCATAGCATAAAGGATCTTACTGTTCAGTTATTATGAATTGAACTGAAGCATTTGAATAAAATCAATGCCTGCATACAGTATTTTCTCGGTTCAGCAAGGCAGTCTGCTTACATACAGTAATTGGACTTGTGACAGGTAATTAAATGGCTTGTAAGGCCTTTAGGATGCTTGATTACATGAAGAGCCTGACACTAATATATAGTAAATGAGGTGGCTAAGAACACTGCATTTCTGTTGATTGCACAGATACTAAAACTCGTACACTTCATTTGAGGGAGAAAAGAAAATAAAACCAAGACAAAAGACCATGAGCAGTGGTGACATGAAAAGTGAGCATAAAAGGAATAGGAGAATGTACTTAGAAACTGGGTTGCCTTGGTTATTTTGAGTCAATCATGCTTACACAAACTGTCAAGCAGTCTTGACTGCTTCGGTATATCATTAAATAATGAACTTGCTCTTTGTGATCACAAAATTCATGACAGTCAAAATTATTCAGCAAGGGATAGCAGCTCTTCACAGAACTTCCCAACAATTAGAAAGTGAACTGATACTCCAGGAGATACTAAGCACATACATGAGTACATGCCATATTTTAAAGAATTCATATTAAATTATCAGAGACCTAACTGCAGTCCATGTTATTATTACATACAGCTTGATGTATGCAGTTACTCACCCATATTATGGACCTAAACTGGGATGTGATAAGAAGTCTAAAATGCATCCACAGTCTTAGAGGTATTTGTCAAAACAGAGATTGTTTTACGATGCAAGTTTTACAATTTTTCTGAACAGTGGGATGAATAAAGGGCTCTATTCTTTTTCAGCATGTTTTTGTAGACAGCAGCCTGATCACTAGGAGAGGGAGAGAAGCAGAGGAGGAGCCAGAATGCAAACAGAAAATTATGCTTTGTGGTACCAACAGCATAAGGCCAGACAAAGGAAAACACTTGGGTTAAATGGGAGAGGGTCAGCATGAACCTGCTTTTACTTCTTCTATGCAAATGGTTTTTTTGCTTATAAAAAGTAGCTCTTTAAAAACACAGAGGTTATTCCAAAGAAAGAAGTCCACACGCAAGATAATTGATGTAGCACACTCTTATGCACAGCCATAAGGGACTCATTCATAGCATAGCAGTGGGTTTAACACACACAGTGAGCTAGACAGAAATATTTTATGATGAGTATACTAGAGTCAGCCAAGACTTCAGATCAACTTAATGGCTGAAAATGGCACATCCATCCACAAAAAGCAGAAGTCATACAGACATTTTTGTCTTTTTGCTATTTCAGATATAACTGTCCATCTAAAAAAAAAAAAAAAGGTCAAAATTCTAATACTGTTTGGTATACAAAACTAACTATTTTAACTAGGTTTGAAAATCAAATAATTCTCTGTACTTAAGAATTAATTGCTCCCAAATAAGCTTGTAGTAGATCTAGGGGCAAAACAATAAAAAAGGTTCTGATTTGAAACTCAAATCATTCTTCTCACACAGGGCCTTACTGAGAGGTCTTCTGGTTTAATCCAAATTGACATCAGTTTGAGAAGACTCTGTTTACATTCCTTCCCTACAGCTAATGGAAAAAAACCCACAAACCATACAAGGTAATGTTCCTATTGGTCTACCAACACATACTTTCTTTTCACCACTGTTCCCTTTGCATTCTCTGCCCAGAATCTTTTATGATAGCAACACAAAGAATTTCAAGTGCTCCTTCTTACCACCCAGCCAGCACTGAGCTGCTTCCAAGCTCTGTCTGGGAATGAGGAACCCCCAAGACCCCAAGCCAGTGGGGGTCTGAACAAGAATGGGGTGCAGCAGGAATTTGGGTCTCATGCCAAAGGTGGCAAAGAGACTGCCTACTCAAAACAGCTTGGATTTTTAGGTGTTTGAATGATGATATAGGAAAAAGCCATTTCAGACCCAGGCTGTCTTGTGTTTTTGTCAGAAATGAAGTGCTGTAAGATGCTTTTGTCATTTGAGGGGATGTTCAGGAATGCATTTCTCCTCCCTTGATGTATGTTGACATAAATTGTACAGAGGAACTCTCAGAGGACACAGTGCTTTGGGTCTATAAAATGTTCCTGACTGGCTCTCTGATAGTACCAGCTGGCAATCTGGGGGGTTGTGTATTTTATTTCATGTCTTGGTAGCAATTTATTAAAAGATTAAGAGAGAAAGCACATGTGCAAGGTGCTGTACTTCCAAGGACAGTGTGATTTTCCACTTCCAAGGCAGTGCAACTATGGTAAACACAATTAAAATGCCACATTACTGCCTATATTCTGGTTTAGGCATCTGCGCTTTTTTGGCATAGAGAGAAAATCCAAATCTGACATGTAGGATATCAGATGATGTGCATGAATGAGACCTGCATCAATTTTCAGACGCTAGATGAATTTGGAAGAACTGGTACTGAGTGGGGGCAGGGGAGGAAAGAAAATAAATTAACAGATCATTTCTTTTCCTTTCAAATTAATGGAGTGCTAGGAAGTAAAACAAACTGGAGCTTTGTACTCTATCTCTTGCTGATGTTTGTGAAATCATTTCATGCTTTACAAGGTAGCACCATTGCTTTGTTCAAAACCCCATTTTTACATGCCTGATATGTCAACATACGGGGTTTTTTCCCCTTATGCTACTGTACTGCTTTTCTCTGTGCATTCATTACACTTTTTTTCTTCTTGAGGCTGGAGCAATATTGTCCTCTGTTGTAAAGCACATACAATAGTAACAGGAATCGTACATGTGTGTTTTGACTTAGAGTTTGCTGTTTGGGATCAGTATGCCAGGAAATTCTAGTCTACAGCCAAGTTTTTTTTTCCCCTGATAATAGATAAATGGTGCTTTGAAACAGCTGGGGAGGAAAGTAGTGATCTCCCAAGGCCTGTCTATGAGAAGAAATCCACTCTTTGAGTTTCAGCATGCTTTCTTCTACCTGGTTTTGGCTTTCCTTCTTTTGTGGAAGAAATGACAGATGGTAGTACTACCACATGCCTTTAGCACTCCCAAAAAATATACCACTAACAGTAAACACGGCAGAGCTGTGGATTTTCTCTCTTGATTTTGTGCCCAAGAGATGGTTACCAATGTTAGTGTATAAATGATTTGTCAGTAGATGTGTGTTAACACCTTTCCTGACTGTTAGGTGACCTTATTTTCAGTGAAGGACGGTGTACTTCTTCACCAGGAGAGCAACTGGATAAGAATTTCATGGGAGTTGAAGCACTCATATTTTAAACTCTTTATAGGTGGTCAGCATCAACTCCAAGAAAAGATACATGGTTAACCCTGATAATTACTTCAAGATCAAATCTTTAATTAAAATCCTGACAGGTGAGATAGAGTCTGTCTTGATGTAAAAACATGTTTTAGGAGAGTGGAAGCATGCCATAGACATATTTACATCGTCTTTGTTTAATGTGCAGAGATTTAATTTGACACTGTAAGTAGACCAATCTTATTATTTATTTATAATATCAGCTCTGATGCTGTATCATGGCACATAGTATCTTCACAGAGTCAAGCTGTGCCATTTGTGTTCTGATTCCATTTGAGCTGTGGCTTTATGGTGTCTCTTTGACCATGCAAAGTGCAGTGTGGAATAAGTAATCAGATAAACAGCTGAATATAGGCCAAGAAAATGCTGAAGTGTGTCATAACATGGGCCAAATATGTAAATCCCAATATAAAGGCAAAGATGTCAGTGTTCAGATTGAGAATGGATGAAGAGAATTTTCATGCTATTGTTCAGTGGATGTTTAGGACAGTAATTCCTGTGTTGTTTGTAAGGTGGATAAATCACTGTGTCATTTAATGGTAAAGCGAGGTGTAAATGTAAGATTAGTATATGTACAACTGATTGCTCTTTTAGTGTTATGGACAGTCATCACAAAAGCGTTTTTTACACTTTATTCGTACATGACAGGCATAACTGTGTATTCTTATGTGCATGATGTGCATGTACATAGATGCATAGAAATAGATGCAGATACCGTGTACTCAGGGTTATATAGATGTATAAAAAGGTAGACAGAGTGTAAACATGACAATTATTAAGTGTAATATTCTATATAAAAAGAGTAGAAACCTGACATCCCTAATATTAGGGTAAAATGGTTTCTATTTCTGTTTAAAGACTCTAACAATATAGTATTCTGTGATTGCTGATGATGCCCTGCTTTTGGAAGAACAACATTGTAGTTCTCAAGTTAATGGGACTAGAATAAAACAGTGAAGAATATAGTGAGTAAAAGACTATGTTGTAGCAGGAAAGTGTTGCATAAAAAGTTCCTCCAAGTATTTGAACTGAGTTATTCCCCTGAACTTCTGACATTCTAGTGTGTATTCTTAGTGTCTTACAGAAGGTCATTTTTTGGGTAATACATTAGAAGTCTGCTCATTTGTGAGACTCCTCAGACCTCCTGGTGTGTGCACTCAAATTATTGAGTTTGTAATCAAATAATTGGATTCTTTCACAGGCAAAATCAGGCTGAAGAGGCCGAAAAGTAACAGGTCTTTCCTAGAAGTTTGTGCATAATTTTTGTGACATTTGATGACATCATCAAGGAGAATTTTAAGGCAAATTAAAAAAACCCAAACCTACCAGACTGTATCTTCACATAAAGAAAAACAGATACTATACTATAAATATATTTTAAAATAATGATGAAATTAGTTGACTGTATGCTGTGTTATGCATTAGTATGCTATGTTGCACCATCCAGACTTTAGAGTGGTTGAAAACAGAACTTTTAAAGTAGACATCATTTTAGGCTTTTATGTAGTAGGGTAAAATGTGAAAAGAATGTACTCATAATATTTTTTAGGATTAACAGTGCTTTGTTTTAAGAAAAGTTTTAATATTTCATAAAAGTTTGAATATTTCAGAATTCGTCTCATTTCTGCCAAGATATTTGTAACTTTACAAAAAATTTAAGGTGTGGCTTTTTTAAATTAATTGATTTTTCAAGCAGAATAGTGTGCATTTTGCAGTATAAAGAAAGTATATTGTCAGTGGGCCAAGAGAGATGATCCCACCCCTCTGCTCAGCCCTGGTGGGGTCACACCTGGAGTGCTGTGTCCAGTTCTGGGCTCCTCAGCACAAGGGAGACATGGAGCTCCTGGGGCAGGTCCAGTGGAAGGACGCAAAGCTGACCGAGCAACTTTTGGCTGGTCAAAGTTGCATCAGATGGAGCATCTCTTCCATGAGGAAAGGCTGAGGGAGCTGGGCCTGTTCAGCCTCAAGAAGAGGCAACTGAGAGGGGACTTCATCAATGTCTATCAGTATCTGAAGGGAGGGTGCCGAGAGGACAGATCCAGGCTCTTCTCAGTGGTGCCCAGCAATAGCACAAGAGGCAGTGGACAGCAGCTGATGCCCAGAAGTTCCACCTGAATATGATGAAAACTTCTTTACTGTGCAGGTGACTGAGCACTGGAACTGGCTGCCCAAAGGGGTTGAGGAATCTCCTTCACTGGTGAGATTCAGGAACTGTCTGGATACAATCCTGTGCCATGTGCTCTGGGATGACTGCTTGAATGGGAAGGTTGGACCAGATGACCCCTCTGAATTCCCTTCCAACCTGACCCATTCTGTGATAAGACAAGAGAGCCCCTCTGAATTTTTACACTGTTCCTATGTGTGCTGTCTAATGTGGTCCTCTTTTGGGGGTTTGATTTTTCATTTAATAGGAAAACCCCATCAATTCCAGACAAAACTTTCTCACAAGAATGTTTCTTTCAAGGGTTTCATGCTGTAAAATCTTCTGCGTCACTTTTAGGTCAAACACAAACCTCATTACATTTATAAAGTCTGTAGGTCCCACCCTGTTTGAAAGGCAGCATGACTCAGAGCACAAGAGCTTTGCACGTTTCCACAGTCCTAGTAGCTAATTTCCTCTCATGCTTAAATTTTTAGAAGAAAAATATTACTATATTTTACTAATAAAAATTAGTAGTACTTGTTTGTAAATGAAAACATTTATTTCCATAGCACTTTATTTATTAATTATAACATTTAGGCACTCTGCACTGGCTGTGAAGACGCTGAAGCAGCAGTGTTTGGTTTGGTTGCTGAGTGTTGCATAGTGGTGCAGTTGATTGGAATCTGCTGTTAGGCTTTAATATCTCTGCAATACTAGCAGGCTGTTCTTTAGGAACTAATACATTTACACTTCTGTTCCATGTCTGCCTAACTGTTCTAGTCTCTGAGCCATACGGGAATCAATGTCTTGTGGAAGAACACCACAGGATGATGGCCCCAGAGAGCCTCTGACTCCCTGCTTGCCCCAGCTGGGGATGTGCATTCCCCTGTTGCTCCTGCTTTTGCACATCCCGGTGCTGGGCAGGGGATGGAGCCTAGTGTGGGGGCTGGGCTGGAAGTGGCCACAGGGATCGTGTTAATCAAGAGCCATCATCACCACATACACCCCTTGCTGAATGTCACTGATCAGGATCAAACAGTCAGTACCTTAAGTGGAGAACGTGTACATTAAACTCGCTCTATTAAATGATAGGGGATTTAAACATAGCTTTGCCTTTGCTTATATAACTTTTTCTCACTCTGTATGGTATATAGCACTTTTTCCGAGAGATTGGCCAATATTCAAAAATGTCAATGCCTACACTGCCTCGCATGTAAGAGAGCAGATAATCACATTGTGAGGAAAGAAGGCAATGTGTGAGTTGTTAAAAATGTAACCTAATTTCTATTTAATCTTAAAAGCATTGCAGCAGTACTGCAAAAGCAGGCCTCTGGATTTTTTTTTCTATCCAAATGTTAATTAGCATGTGATTTTAAAAGCTTGGGAAACACTGGTTCATATCAGGTACTTCTGTAAGGAGAAAAGTGATAATAAATCATATAAGAAAAATAAACAGAAGACCTTCTTGGATTTTTGTGTAGTCTTAATCAAGTGGCTCGGTCCTACTACAAAGTGTGAAAGACCGAGGCAAATTTCAGAATGAACCTTTTAAAAAATCAGAGAGTATTAATTGTGTCTGTATTTTAGTCTTTATAAACGCTGACTCAAATCATTATAGGCAGAAGATTTTACCAGCTACTTCTATGACTATTCCAGTCATCTCAGATTCTGGTTTGGAGCATATATATGCATTTTGTCATAAGTTCTTCAAGGGCAGACTGTTAAAAGCTACACTAGCAGTGGTTGGAACCTGCTGCTTAGAAGGAAGAACCAGAGCTGAGTACTGAATTGATTCCCTGCTGACAAAGGAGCAAGTTACCCTTTGTCAGCTGTTTCACTGCAACTGATTGTGTGCCAGAAAGACAGTGCTTAAAAAATAAGAGTTTTACCATAAAAGAAAAAGCCACAAGATGAACAGAACTGCAGCATGAAGCAAGGATTTTACTGAGAGGGGTCTAGCACTGAGAGGGATCTAACACTGTTTCTGCCCATAATGATTTTTTTTCAGAATGGCAGAGACTCATGGCTTAATGGAGAGATTGGAGAAAGCAGTGACTCGACTTGAATCATTGTTCTCAGATTCACACACATCTGGTGGAATGGAGTGTGATGGCATCAATGGAGTCAATGGAAGTAAGTATGTTATTTTGAAGTACCATCTCTCTGTTATTAAAAAATTGCAAATAATATATATGTTTGTCTTCTACAAATTCTGTATCAAAATAAAGTAATATTTAAAAAAAATTATTTAGAAGTGCCATGTAACAAGCTTAGTAGCATGCACAGTTCTAAACTAATATGACCTAGAAAATTAATGATTTTACTGTTTCTTAAATATACTGTCCATGTCTCCAGCTTTATTAGTCTTTCCATTTTAGCAATTATATTTACAAATTATATCATTGTAAATAACTCCCCAGGTGAAAATGTCTGCTTGAGCCCAATTAAGAGAAGAAATGAGACATCCCCTAAATGTACAGCATAAATATTCCCATAGAAGTCACCAATATAAACACTGTTGATTTGCCAGCTCTCTTGGAATTTCATAGTTCAGACCCACTTAATTTGTTTAACATCCTTAATCAAATATGAGTTTGTTTGGAAGCATTTGCTCACTAAAGACTGCTATATATCCATGGCCTTACATTGTTATCTCTTGAGCTGTCTGTTCTCAAGTGGCTCTCCAAAGCACTACAGAGGAGAATATACCAAAAAAAGACTGTTCTTTGTCTTTTCATATCATATCATCAAATCATATTTTTTTGTGCCTTAATTTTTGTGGTACCTGAAGTTATAGGCTAAATAACTTTACATATGTGGTACTTCTAAATATGATGGAGTAGAACTGCTCTTTCCTTTCTCCAAAACTTGTTTTTTCATCCAGAACCCCAACATATGTCTCTTTATTAGCTTCATGTTCTTTGCTTTCTGTATTCCTTGCCCTTTCTTGCATTCTCCAGAGAACAGCACATCCCAGCATGGACTCAGCTGCTGTACAGAAGCTCCAGGACACATGGAAAGTTGCAGGCAGCTTCCTTTACTGACACAGCAACAAGAGAAGTGTGTGAGCTGCTGTATTGTCCCCTATGCCAGCCAACACATGTGAGGGACATTCCCTGCACCCTTGTGTCCATGGGCCTGCACACTGGCAGCTGCTGTGGAGCAGCTGACTGAGATCAGTGTGTTTCTGTGGCAGGAAAGGAGCATCTTCCAGCAGGCTTCCATGGCAGATGAGTTAGCCAGTCACAGAAAGCTTCAGTAAAAAAGTGCTTGCAGTTCAGAGAAAACCTAGGCAGCTAGTAAACTGTAGCAAAGTCAGGGAGAAATATGATCCATTGTACAAACTGACAAATAAATCAATCACCACTTGGAATTGTGCAATTCTCAAAGAATTTAGTCATGTAATGAGTCCATTTAGGTGAATCTGTATTTATCCAGAGCACAGTGTTGCAGAACCAGGGCTGCTTTCAGAACAGGAGACAACTCACCATGCCAGGTACTTCCATGAAAACTGCTTATATTCTTGACCTGACCTAGTCAGGTTAAAAGATTCACCCCCCAGGGAGCCAGAGCCTGAACACCCCAACAGATCCCTAGAAGAAGCCAACTGAGAAGCCTTGTTGAAGTGTGATTATAGAACACATCCACTGGGAGACTGCAGTAAGAAGCTGAGATGAGCAGCACCATGGGGTGCTTGCCAGGCTGCATAATGTCTCCAGGCAGAGTGTCTCACACAGGGATTCAGGAATTAGCTTTTGCTGGTGCAGTTGGGAAAGTCTTCAGTTGGTGTGACTGGTACACCTACAGTGCACCACTCTGTCCACTGCAAAGGAAACAGTCTTCTTTTTTTCCTTCAAAACTGTCACTCATGCCAGAGTGTGACCTTTTTAAAATCTGCAGCTGAAATGGAGGTACATTTCTTTCTTCAACCATGACCTCTATCTCCTAAAAGACCATTCCATTATTAGAATTATTTAAAAAAAAAAAAAAAAAAACAAACCTTGGCTTTTTTCAATTAATACATTTTCAGAAACAGGATGGGAGATCTGTACCTTCACTGTTTTCCTAAATGGCATTACAACAGCAGAACTGCAAATAAATCATTCTGTTGCTCTGCACGGCCCACAGCAAATTCTAGTAAGTGCTTCTGGGAGTGAGCTGCATTGAATAGTAAAAAATAGCATAGTTGCTTTCTAGCTCTGCATAGGAGAATTTGGTGAACTGTTATGTAAAACTCTGCTCTAAAAGGAAAATGTTACAATGAATCTTTTGGAAACATACACAGATTTTGAAAAAGAACATAAATGGGCTTTGGAAAGCATCCCCACAGCTAAAACCTTTTGCATTAGGTCATTTGAGGGGTTTACACACAAACACTTAATATGGAAGAAAGCCCAGAAATTCCTCAGAATTATAGGTGAATGGCATCAAGAGAACAAAAGGAGCCTTGAAATCCCACCTAGCTGACTAACTATATTTTCTTTTTCACACGGGCCACTGCAAACTCCAGTTGCCAGAGCCTGTCTTTTATTCTGTCATGGAGCCAGATGACTCTTGTGGAATAAAGAGGGCTTTCATAACTATGAATTTGGACACAATTGTTATATAGTGCCAAAAGGTTAAAGCAGATTCTCTGGGGAAAGCCTGGTACCTCTTCAGAGCAATCCTCAGGTTTTATTAATGAGGGAGAGAGGCAGGGAAGAATTTTAACCTTGTTCTCTCAGATCCTACATATGTCATAGATTCACATGTGTGTCATTCATGCTGGATCTGGCAAAGGTTCTGAGGCATAGACAAGACATGAGGGAGTAAAGGGAGGGTTGGAAACCATCCAAGGAAAGGTTATTTCTGTTGTCTTAACAGGTACCACATAGTGCCATGTAGAAGCCAGGTGCTTAAGAAACTGAGGCCGATCTGCATTTTCTGATTGTTCACTTAATCAGGAAACTGCGTTGTGTACCATATAGAAAATAGCAGCTTTATTCCTCCTTTGTAATGTGTAGCATATATATAGTCAGTGGGATGTGTTGTCTGGAAGACTTGTTTGAGCTTTCTTTATCCAGTGACAGTTTAGCAAGGTGAGACAACGAAATGAGGAGATTACAAAGCCATATCTCTCTGCATAAATCTACTGTCAACCCCTTCCAAGGACTCTTACTGGAAATGGAATTGGTTGCTATTAAAAGCCGCCAAACATCACAGAGATCTTCAGGAATGGAGTAGTATAAAAATAGTTGTTAAGTACAGTGGAGGTTCTTTTTAAGGGTTAATATTTGGTTAAAGTACAATAGGGGAATTTTGTTAAGAGAATTAGACTTCTCAGGTCACTCCTTTGAAGGGCTGAGAGATGTTTGTTTTAGCACATGTTATTTTAAGACGCAAGAGGCTTCCCATTGCATTATACACAGGAAATTCTCTTGCAGGTTCCTATTCAAGTTCTACCAAGAGCAGGATTTTTTTTCTCTTCTTTCTATCTAGGACAAAAATAATTTTACATGCTTTTTCACTGATTTCATAAATCAGAAATGGAGTTACAGCAATCTACTCAGTTTCTATGATACACCTCCTCCATCTGCTACATGTCCTATGCATTATATACTTTATGAACCCATTATAATGGAACGTTCCTCTTCTACAGGCGTAGCACCATATGTGGAAGCCTTTGATAGGCTGCTGAATGGAAGTGTTGCTGAGTTTCTCAGGTACAGCAAGATTCTCGAAGGTGATGTGAAGACACATGTAAGTATTTACTCAGAATTTCCCATGATGATGGAAGCGTACAAGTCTTGGAATCTGCATGATCAGCCTTGATTTCTGAGTAGAGGAGTATCCTAATAGCAGAACAAACTCTAAGTTATTAATTCTTGTAATAGAGATAGCCTGGCATAACACACTGAGTACAGTTGGTTTGGGAACAGCGCAAGATTGTGTAGATTCATAAGAAGAGATTGCTTGCCTTCTACAGCACTAAAGTTGTACACCATAGAATGCGAAATTATAAATATTCTCAGTCAGAAGCAATTTGAATAGTTTTATTGTCTGCTGAGCTCTTTGCAGGACAGGAACACAATTAAGAACATATGCCAACAAATTAGTAGCAAACAACAGGTGGGCCCAAGCAATCATAACTTCCTGTGGTTGTTTTCTAGGCATGTGTATCATCATTCCAATTAATATAGAGCTATTGCTCGCATTGTTTGTTTTTATTACTCACATCTCTTTCATTTGTAACAATGTGGCAAACTAAAAATGATTCAGCCATTTAAATGACCTTTTGTTAAAAATAAAAGTTATAGCAAGGAAGTACCATGGTATCATTTTCATGATGCAATACTTTCTAACCTTACTGATCTTAACCTTGTGATCAGAACTTGTGTCATTTTATTTTTTTAAGTTGGTCTTCCCTAAAATGGGTGGTGATGGAATTGACAAGGGATGGAGTCATCTTACCAACAGCTTACCGATACAGATTTGGAAAAAGAAAACCAAAAAAACATCCCACACATAAGAGAGCTGGGGTGCAAGCTGGATCTGAAGGAATGTGATGCTTTTGACTTTTCTAGCAGATCCATGCCATCAGGTCTTCCTCTGTGTGTACGGTTCCCAGTTGATTGCTGCTGCCCTACACAACAAACACTGTAACCAGAAAAACATGCAGTCCTACAAGATACTGAGATTCATGTTGCAAGGACAACATAAATATTCTTCAGCACAACCAAAGCAACCAGTCTATTTACAGAGAAAGATGACTGGATTATTCTGTGATCTATGTTTTTTTTCTCTGGTGTTACATGTTCTGGTTTGTAGGACAGAGTTTCTGACCTAGTTAGGCCTAGAAAACAGGAGGGAGTAAGGAGACCAGGCAATCCTAGATGATCTTTGTTTTTCTAAGGAAATGCTGCACTCCCTTTTTATTTGAAAAAGCCTAGACAATTATACTATAAGCTACAATATATGTACTTTGTTCTTCAGAGAAACTAGGGGAAAATAAATAAATGGGGGTCAGAGGGTTGGAGGAAGAATTACAAACCTAACTGAACAGAGGATTGCTCCCTGGAAAGGATTGATTCTAGCTTGGTTTTTGCATTGATTAGATATTATTATTTTGCAGTTGATTTCTCAACAGTTTAGATCTGAGTGATACAAAAATAGTCTTCCAATACTAATCAGGGAAAGGGATTACATTAAACATTCTAAATTGCTAAACCCTTTTTAATATACACTATCTGTAAATGTTTAAATCATTAAATCAGTAAGTGTATTAATTTATGCATTTGTCAGTATTTCTTACTCATAATTGAGTCCATATAAAAGATTATTAATAATTTGTTAGCCAAGTCTGTGGACAGTCCCTAGCATATTGTTGATGATAGTGTAATGCAAGCTGTGATATGGAGTATTTGTTAGTGCTATGAGCTTAGACATTGCATTAGCTTTCTTTACATAAAGAAACCGGTGATTCTCATTGCAGCCTACTAAATATTCTGAAATCTTAGATTCTGCGCTTACAACGTGGAGCAGACTGTGGTTGCCTTATGCTCATGCTTATCACTGAAGCAACATCTGTGCTTTACCTTAACAAGTGGAACAAGGAGTATTTTTCTTCTGGGTGTCTTATAGACCATGTGTCCTCAGCATTATACTTGCAGCTGCTGTCTCTTTCACATAATGAGCTGAAGGGAAGGTTGTATTTTATTTCAAAAAACACCTGTTGCCTTGAAAAACCTCACATACCTGACAGACCAGAATGGTAATATGAGAGAAAGAGAGACTTCATATTGTGCTAAAAAAATGAGGGATTTAACATGATGTGTTTTGTGCTGATGGCTGTAACGGTTGTGTGGTTTGTGTGCCTGGCAAAAGGAAGAATTCAGACACAACTGCTATCTGTTGGGGACCCTTGTTCCTATTTTTCCAGCATGCCGTACTCTAAAAAGTCTGTTGAAAGAGAACAAAACAAACCAACCACAAAAAGAACTAATAGCTAGCTTCTGGCTCTCTTGAACACAGCAGCGCAGTGGGCTTTACAAAGATTAGTTTATCAGAGTCCTGCTTAGGCTCAATCTTAAGAGCAAGATATTTCTCATTCAAATTACAGGGCATATGGTGGTGGATCTCTGAGGTCAACTGCACTGAAGAAATGAACCACTTTTTTAAAAGACAGGGAGAATGGTTAGGCTTTTACATACTCTATTTAAAACAAATTACCCTGAACAGCTAAGATAAGACCTTTTCCCTATTCTGTCACTGTGGAATAAAGATCTGGTGATTATATGGATATTTCTATGAAATGCAAAGTCCCCTACAGGCACAGATTTCATGAAACTGCTTTCTGCTGTCCATATCATAACTGTAGAGTGTGTGAAGTCAGTGAAAGAGTGAAATGTGGCCAGGACTGCTACCAACCAGCTGTCTTTGGCCTGACATACCAGTGTCTTGGAGGCTGTCACCAACCATTACAGGTTGTAACAGCCCTGAAGCTGACTCACCATATATGCCAACACCAAAAACTATCCTTCTGTCAGAATGAGGGAAATTCAAAATCGGTATAAAACAGATTGTGACTCTACAGCATAGGCTATGAATCCAGCACTGCAGAAAATGTGTCAAGATAACAAAGAGCTGCTTGTGGAAGGCATAGTCTACCTTTAGATTGTGTCCCAGTGAAGCTGGGTTCAAGCAGGTTTGATGAGCTCTTCACCTTGGCAAAGCAAAGAAACCAAGACTTTAGAAGGCCAAGAAGCAGGTTTTTGTCATGAGTTTATTACTAATTTCTTCACATTATTTTTGTTTATGTGCTATCTCAAGTGGTGGAATACTTTGGCTTGAATTTGAGTAATGTACCAGATGAGACATCATGATAGGAAGAGAATGTACTGGTTCTAAAAGAGAAGGACAGATAACCTCACATTTCCATATTTTAGTATTTTATGTGGTACAGAGCAGAGCATAATTGCAGCCTTCTGTCAAACACAAAAGCTAATACTTGCCTTTTAAAAATGTTTATTTGTAAAAATCTTTTAACCTCCCAACTCCACCAGTTGAAAGAACAGATTGTCTGTGTGATTCATTTATGTTCCCTCTTCTCTCATCCAAGCTATTTATCTTGGAATGAAAAACTATAAAAATATGGATGTCTTTTCCCTCCTTTCTTCAATCAACTTCCAGCTGCTGAAATGCAGAGCTCAAAACAAAAGCTCAAAGAGCTTGGAGCATTCAGAAATGAAGTGGTAGGTGGTTCAGTTGCTCCTTATTGGAAGAGAGTTTGGATGCAATCCATTACATGTATGGCTGCCTGAACAAGTTTAGCACCGAAAAGTAATTCACAGCACATTATCCAATTTGCAGTTCTCTGTGTACATGCACTTGTTTCTTATCATGGTGAGCAGAGAAAGCAGTGTGCACCCCACAAATGTCATATGCATGTACCCAGAGAATTTCTTTCTCTATTACATGAAAGCCGTGACATGCTTCTCTTCTTCCTAGTAAAGTCCATGTAAATAGAAACTGAGAGAGCTGAAAGCAGGAGATATGTTTTATGAGATATATATGCACTTTGCAAAGTGCCACTCTGTTTGGACTATCAGTGCAGTTGAAAAATCCTACCTTCCTCTTTTTTTTCAATGGAGTAGTTATGACACATGAAATAGCTGCATGTTGTCTTTTCATGTGAGAGATACTGAAGACGGAGTCAATGATGTTCATAGCCCTGAACTTTGAGCCTGATGTGCTGCTGTCTGTGATACACCAAAAAAACCCCCACTTCTGCGCTTTATCTTAGCTAATCTAAATGCAGACTATCAAACCCATTATTTGACTGATTCCTCATTCACAAGGCAATTTGCTTACAGGGCAACAGAATGCACAAGTGTACTCTCGTGTTCATCTTTTGTGCTCAGAGGCTGTGTGGTTTTAGGCATTGTGTTGAAAGTTGAATTAGAGCTCAGAGAAGAGGATGATGTCAACATGCCCAAAGAGAAGCTTGCTGTCAGGCTGCCTTTGCAGTTCTGTGAGAGGTATTTTCTGCTACACGGAATAAACACCAAACCAAGGTGTTAGTGCAGGACTGGGGAAAATGGAGTACGTTAAAAAAAGAATAAAAAAGACAGATATTTTTGACAGCATACAAATTGCACTCAACTGAGAGAAAGAGTCTTAGAGTGTAGAAAATGGTAGTGCTGTCCACCAAAAGGGAAAATAAAATAAAATCATCAGCCTTGGAAATCTGTCAGTGTTCAAAGTTGATTTTGTAATGTTAATTCAGCTGTGTTTCTCACCCTATATATGTACTACAAGATACTTCATAAAATGAACACTAAAGAACATTAACTTTAATAGGAGAAGAAAGATGGAAATGCAATATATGCAGTCTAGCCGAGAGGCTAATTTAGAGGTTAGTCTAGAAAAAACGTGACATTTCTAGGAGTTCTACAACTTTTGATTGCTCTGTTCTAAAGGACAACTTCCCATATGGCCTAGGGATTGAACCTGGCTTTCAAAACAAGCAGGATTTGTTCAGGCGGGTGCAGTGGTATGCAGACATGCTTGTACCTGTTGGACTGTAAGACACCTGGTTGGGAATAAAGATGGCTCCTGAGAATGAAGGACCTGTCCATTCCAAGTCTAGAACACCACCTCCTGAAAGAGTGTGAGTTTTTCCAACAGTTTTCATGGGAACTGGATCAGGCTGTTAGTTTCTTGACACTGACATTGCAGTAAATACCACTTGTTTGGTTTTT